TGATTCTAAATTACCGTCAAACTTTTTGTATTACTTTTAAATATATCATGAAAAAATTTATAACTTTTTCATAATTTTTTTATTTCGTTAAAAAATACGTATGATACATCTCTAAATCTATCAATCTACGTTGTGTAGTCGAGATAGAAATTAAAATATGATGATCAGAATTCTCTGATTCGTATAATCATAATTTGTCGTGTTTTTACTTCTTGTTGGTATAAGAAAAACACCTTTCTCAATGTAATTCACGAACAAGGCTTCTTTTCTTTAAATTATCATAGATCGATCTCTAAGGTTCAAGCGAATCTGAAAGAGAGGGCATTCTTCTCGAAGATTACGCAGTCGAGGTTGAACGAAACTTTTTTCGTCCCACATCTTTCATTCGTTTTATCGCGAAGAATACTTGCTCTTTTAACTACATTCTAAGCCGATCACAACTACGAGCACAATTCGAGAGAGCGTTATTTTCCTGCGCTTCTCCCCGTTTCATTTGCGAGACCATAGATTAATATGATAGATTACGCATTCAAATGTGACAGCTGAAGACAACATCTGAAGGACAGAAATATGCGTAATCTGTCCGTCATACATTGCACAATTGAATGAGAAAAGTGTTTGATCAACTATTATCTTCCCTCTCTAATCCTAGATAACACAAAATATTCTATGAATATTCTAATAAAACACGAATGATCTTAATGTTGAAATATTTATATCGAATGTTCTATGAATATACATAGAATATTCTATTAAAAATTCATATTCATATAATATAAAAACATTCACAGAATGTTCCTCATTATATATTCGTAGAGTTAATGAACTATACATGAGCAACGTGCTACTTTTATCTTGCGGACCAGATCAGCCCAAATTGAGTATGTAAAAATACTCAAAGACACTCAAAATAATAAATAATTTAAACGTTATATTAACTTTATTATAGATTATTATCTGAATTTATATCATTTTTTAATCATTTAGTCAATATGACATTATTTTGACTTTCTCGTTCTTCTCATATTCTATAGAATGTTATATAAAATATTATATAAATATTCATAGAACGTTTATAATTGTGCCATTCAAATGTACTATGAACGTATTTAACAGTGTTTTTGGTACATTTATAGAATATACATTTATAGAATTTTGTTAATAAATATTCTATGACGTCAAATAATATCTTATTAACGTCTTTAACATCAACACAACGTCTCCTTGTTATTTGGATTGTCACGTCTCCATTAAAATCTCGAATATATAAATTTGTGCGCGGGATGCTCACCGACGGGTTTTTGGGCGTAGGGAATGCCGAACCAGGCGTCGACGCTTTTGCCGGTTGTCGCGATCATGGTTTTGCCGCGGACCATGCCTTTCCTGGTGCGCACCACCAGCGGATCGTCGGAGTGGCCGACGAGGGCGGCCGGTCGTGGGAGCTCCTCACTCGACCTGGAACTCCTGGCGTCCTCGTGCGACGTCTCCTGCGCGGCGTGCAGCTCGTGCTCGTGATGCCTGCTCCGGTGGGACGGCGAGCCGAGGCAAGGATCCGGCTGCAGGACGAGGAGCAGGAACAGGCTTAGTACCAGCAGGGCCTCCAGTCTGCCGGTTCGCCAGGAACTTGAGTTTCTCGACATCGTGCCTGCTCGGCTGCAAAAAGAAATAAAAATCGCGCGCATTTTGCGCATCATTTATCGTGCACGTGAAGAGGGAAAATTGTATCTACAAATACCTTACACTCTCAATTTCTTGCAGTCGAATCTCTCCAAGAAAGTGAAAATACATCCTTTATTTCTTGAAAATGAATGACAATTTTCATTCTTTTTAGAATGAATTTTCAAATGAAATCTCACTTTTTAGTGATTAGATAGACATTTCACTTCTTTTGAAATGAATTTTTACTTCAAAGAAAATTCACTTCAAAAAAAGTGAAAATTGTCACTCTTTTTTAAGAAGTAAAATATTCTCACTTTTTTTCAAAAGTAGTTGTATTTTCACTCTCTTGGAGTGAGACTTCACTGTAAGAAATTTAGAATGTATGAAATTACAATAACAATCAATAAAAATGAAATGAAATTAAATTAAAATTAAATATCTATGTGTGTTCGTAATACATGTCTCCTTCTCTTTGTCAATGTGTTTCCTTCGCGAAACTATTATAATTATTTTTCGTTTAGAACAAATTAAATGTAATTTTAGACCGTCTATAATTTGCGCCGGAATTTAAAATAGAATTCTATTTATAATTTTGTATACCATACAATATGAAAAATGTTTGAACAGAATCAGAGAATCTTTATATAAATAAAATATGCTTTAAAATGTACACATGTATATCAAAACGCATGATATATCAAATTATAAATAGAATTCTATCTTGAAATCTCACGTGAATTATAGATCGCTTAAAAATAGACTTGTGTATATGTGTACAGTATGAATGGAAAATGAACAAATTATTTGATATAAAATGTTTAAAAAGCGGTTATTTTATAAGCGAAGAGAGCCGAGCCACGTGTAGTTTTCAATTATTCTTGTCCGTATACCACGAGGCACAGTGTCGAAAATGTTGCGACAGAAAATTGGAAAGGGTTAATCCTCACTGGAAACTTGTTCTTTATCTGGCAGATGATAAATTCGGTTTCTAAGCGCCAGAACGTTTCGCTACTCGCGCAATAACCATCGTATAATTTATACAGCATTTGTAAAACGATGCTGGATGGGATGCGTTTGCGAATAACAAATGGCTGTTTCGGGTACGCTATTGGTAAATACATTAGCATAAAGTACACAGGTGATACGTCGCTCGTGAGAATAAATCTGGTACAGCTGCATTTCGCGAAAGCTGCATTCGCTGCGGTAGGAAAGACTAGAGATCCTCAAGTAAGAAATGACACCGTTTAAACGATTTCTGATTGGTCAGCCATATTTTTCAGGACCTATTCAAGATAGAATAAGATGCGATGGATATTTCATTCTGTTTTATGCGTGATTTATCTCATTTTTTCTTAAGCAGATCCTGAAAAATATAATGAATTAAACGTATAGTGTCCATTTTATTTGAGAATTTCTACCCAGGAAAAAGACTATATCTTAAATCAATCATAATATGCTCACGTATAAGCAAAAATATTACAATCTTGCTTTGTATTGCTTTGCATTCAAGACTTGCTCGATCAAAAATTTTATATAAATACAAATTTAATCAAATCAAGATTAAAGCCTTTGAAAGAAGATCACAATATTTTTGCTTATATATGATTAATTGCTCATATTATGATTAATACAGAATCCCAAACAACACAGAATTTGCAGTAATATCGCTGCAAAATCTCTGCACTATTGCTGCAACATTGCTGTAATGTTGCAGCAATGTTGCTGCAACTTTTGTGCAACTTTATGCTGTAGAGGAATAGTCTTTTTTTTATGTAGGAAAAGCCTCACGTCGTGGCCGTCGCATCAAAATATGGATGTGTCTTATAAAAACGTAACAATTGGATAGGATAAGACTTATTTTCAACTTTGCTTTGTGCTCTGCACACGTAAGCATGTCTGATATGAAAAATGCAAGAGCGAGAAAAATGCTCCAGCGGTGGTACATAACGTATGTCGCGAACTCATTAATTTCAAAGGGAATCCACCGCGGAGGAAAAATAAACTCCATCGAGATCCGTGTGTGTGATTTAAAAGGAACAGTCAGAGATGTGATTTCCGAAAGATTTTCCATCGAGTATCCTTCTTTTCTGAATAACTCGCTCGTCCTCTGAAAATTGTCCTCTGCTGTGGCGCAAAATTATCCCCGCAGGGACAAAGTAACCCTATCTGACCGTAATTCAAGCCGCGGTTTCCAGCGCATCCGAGAGAGAAACCGCGTTGATAATTGAGATTATTTGAGTTAACTAAGCTAATTTAATTAATAGCACGTTATTTACTATCAAATTATTAGCCATGGGTTAGAGTAGCGTTTGATTATTTAAATTGATCGGTTTTTTGAATTAATTTCACCGAGAGGAAAGGAATGAAAACATGATTTTTAGAATTTAAAATAAATTAAAAATACTGAAATAGCACCTCCAAAGAATCTCATATATAATAATATTTCAATAATATGTTGAGTAGATGCGTTAATCTTACCGCTTTTCTCGTGAATAAAATGCACCGATGATTTTGTTCCTCGGAGAAATGCAGACAGAAATGTTGGGATGATTATTAGATGAGTGGATGAAATTTTGGCGTCATTAAGTAGGAACCGCTTTTGCAAATGATTTATCTCGTTTAAATGACATTTTCGTTCTGTATATGCTTGTCTTTCTCTTTCTCTCTATTCCCGCGCTTCTTCCGCCAAGCATTCATGATACATCATATTAAGGTCGTTATATAACTGACAGACAGACGACAAGTGTCCTCGCTTGTCGTTTAAATCTTTTGCAAATTGGAAGAACATTGAATTTCTACAGCTCTCCATCGCTTTGTCCGCATCCCAAATTTCTCTTAAATGCTATTCACAACGTTGGATTCATTACTCGAGAATTCACGCGATGATAGAAATATTCTCTCACGACTGATAATTTTACACGCCCATCCTCAGGAACTGAATATTATAACTCTATACATGTTCACACACGTGTGAAACCTGAATACAGGTTTAAAACTTTGTGCGCGACACGTTGATATTCTCGATAATAGAGAGTCCCGGGAATATATAGGGCGTCTCGAGATTACAGATTAAAGGATTTTGTTTTTAGTCTATAATGTCATCGAATGCGTGACTTCGATAATAACGGACGGACGGTGGACGGTTCAAAGTTATCCCATACACAGCGCGAAGCCTTTTTTTTTAGCTCACGTTTTACACTGCAGCAACGTCACAATCCTGCAAATTGCAGGGGCATTACAGAACCATGCAAATGAAAAATTCTGACAAGGTTACAGCAATATTGGAAGTTTGCAGGATATTAAAAATAGAATGAGGTTCCATAATGCCTTCTCCCCTACATATTGAATCTAATATTCCGGATTTCAGGTTGCGACAAAGAAGATGGCGGAGAATGTATAAAAATTACGCGAGTAATTGTCGACTTCGATTTCGAAGCGAGAGATCGAATGATTTAGAGAATAATGAAGAAAAATGTAATTATATCTGCAGCAACGTTACGCCAATACATGATGCACATCGTCGCTGAGACGTCACATTGCAAGCTTACAGTAATATTGCATTATTTGCAATTTAAATGACTGCATTCAGTAAAAAAAGTAACTTTGCAACTTTGTAAGATTCTTTAATATGATTGGCTTATACAATTAGATTCAGAAAAAGGAAAGGAACTAAAGGCAAGAATATTAGAGAATTTTACAATCATATTACAAGGTTGTCAGGTTTCTTAACTAAAATTTCATAACTTTTTTCTGACTTTCAGACAAAATTTCATTATTTTCCCTGATACTTTCAATAATATTTTGAAATTTTTGTATTTTTGTCTTGATTTGATTAGAAACCTTCAAATATTTTATTGAAAGAGCAATTACATAGAATGTTAATTATTATTAATGTTGCAGACTTGCATTTAATTGTTAAGTTGGTATCTCAAAACTAGGTGTGATGTATAAATTTCTTTAATTTATATTAAACTTATTTAAAGCCAAGAATTCTAATTTTCCAGAAAATTTTACAAAATTCTCTTATTTGTAATGTCCGTTTTTTCAATTTCTCTTATATTTCTCTGATTTCCCTAGTTTCCAATTTTGTGGCACGCAAATCTGTATTAAAAAATCTTACAACAGTTGCTAAACTGCTTTTTCTGCTGTCAACGCAGTTAGCAATCTTGCAATGAAACATTTCTGTCTGCAGATCCGCGCTGCGTTTACGATTAAAAAATCATTATATTTAAACGGCAGGTACTTGACAAATTTCAAGTGGAATATTCTGCTTCTCGTTAATGTTTTAACGAGACTCTTTGACTGATTTAATGTAGGGTATAAGATCCTGCTTCACGCGCATTATTTCTTAATATCAAGTCGATTTCTCCTCAACGAACTTGTCGTGAGTGCTCATCATTTTATCACGGCTCTTCAAATTTTTATCATAATGTTACCAATGTACTCTATAAGTCTTGAATTAAAATTCTATCAAAGCAAACTCCATCTGAGATATAGTATTCTTTCTTTTACTTCCATTTAAACCAACACTTGAATTCGTAAAGATTTTCATTTTGCGATAACTCGAGAATTGTCGATGCCTTCATATTTTCGAGGAAAAATCGACTTCAAATCGACCAAGAAATTTGTTGTTAAAGAATAATGTGGGAGAAGTGGAGTATCCATTATATTTTGTATACAGTTATCGATGGGAAATACGATATCGTAGCGTATAACAAATTTCTGCATATTATCACACGTTGAAAAGGTGTACAAATATATATATATATATTTGATATGAAGTGCGATAATTCGATATATTTCAGAAATTTATATATAATTAAATTTACAACAACGTAGCATAAATTATAAACAATAAATAAAGGAGTAACTTATATTTTAAATAAAAATATATGACTTTCGCTACTGACATCCTGTCTATGGCTATTTTTGCTCCTTTTTATTTATTCTTGTTATAATTATATAATATTTTCACTGGATCACTTAAATTTTATATATACGTGAAGCTTTTCTTCAATATATACGTTGAACAGAATTTATGAATATTCCAGTGAAATATTAAAATTTCGATTTTGCCTTTTTCAATACCTTATATTTCTTCTTAATTTGAAAGTAAACCCTATTATATTATATTTACACAGTTATACTTAACATAGACTTATTTAACTTTTACAGAATAGGAAAGCCAATAACGGTGTTGAAACAATCATATTTTGAGGCAAGGAATGCAATGAATAATGAAATACAAGAAATCTTCAAAGAAAAACTATAAGATTTAAAAAAAAAGGTTCCTCTTTGAATGTTAATTTCAAGAAAATTACGGGACTACGGTTATAAAGTCTCTTTTGCAAAATTAAGCGGCAGATTATTTTAGAAAATGGGTAAAAGGATCGTCTGTAAAAAACAAATTTGTTTTTTACAGCTCAATTACTTAGATTAGTAATAAGAGTAGATACTTTAACAAAAAAATCTAATCACAGTGTCTTTTTTGTAAAATAATTTTGTAAATAATTTTGTAAAAAGTATTTTTGTAGAACTTTCGAATACATTATTTTTCATCTCATTACAAAGAAATGAACGTAATAATTATTTTATATACGCTTTCAATTAATCTCAAACTTTTGACTGGCAGTATATATATATATATATATAAACTAAATGTGTTCTCTAAAATTCTCAGAATGAATCTCATTCTGAAGAGTGAAATCTCACTGATGAAATCTCTGATAGATCGAAAACTCAGCCATTCAGTTTCCAAACTGGTTGAATTTTCGCTTAGAGTGAGATTTTGTTCCAAAGGATTAAAGAATATATAATTATATAAATAATTACGCAAAAATACATATATACGCACGTCGTGTTCAATAGACGATTCAGCGTCCCTCTCCCTCTCTGCACCTCTTTCCCCGTCTCACGTACGCACGTTAGGGCAGGGACAGGGGCAGGGGAAGGTATTAGTAGGATGATAGTATTCTCTAGTTACCACACGAAGGTCCACGTTGATTAGCAACTTCCTTCTACGTGTTCCGTGCGTGGTCGTACGTACACTCGGTCACACGGGAGCGGCGCGTCCACGGGAACGTCGTCGCACGCGGAAGTTTACGCACGAGGACGAGAATTAAACGTCGTCGTAAAATTAGGATTTATTGGTCGCACGGTGGCGAGGCACACACGTGTGCGAAACGAACGCCGATAGAAGTTTCTATGTCGGAATAGAGATTCCGCTCAGGCAAATCAGCGGCGGAAACAAGGCCGCCAAGGTTCTCAGCGAATCCCGAGCGGCACCGGTAATCGGCTTCAATTTAAACATCAAGTTCGAATAATCGAATGACATTAATTGCGTCCGATTTAACGTTTAGCTCAAATCGTACGATTCGTACGCGTACAACGTTGCAGTTTCGCTGATTTAGATGAAAAAAATCGATGAAAATAGATGAAAATGATCTCTAAAGATGCTCTGACCTTCTTAGAAAAAAAAAATCAATAAAAAATTAAATGAAAGGAAAACAAATCAGAGCAAATTAACAAATCGCGGATTAGAATCTCTCTCTCTCTCTCTCTCTCTCTCTCTCTCTCTCTCTCTCTCTCTCTCTCTCTCT